GAATAATAAAGTATAATAAAATAATAAATAAAGTATAATAACATGATAAAGTATAAGAAAATAATAAAGTAATAAAGTATAATAAAATAATAAAGTAATAATAAAGTATGATAAAGTAATAATAACGCAAAAAAGTATAATAAAATAATAAAGTATAATAAAGTAATAAAGTAATAAAGTATGATAAAGTAATAATAACGCAATAAAGTATAATAAAGTAATAATAACGTAATAAAGTATAATAAAGTAGTAAAGTATGATAAAGTAATAATAACGCAATAAAGTATGATAAAGTAATAATAACGCAATAAAGTATAATAAAATAATAAAGTAATAAAGTGTAATAAAGTATAATAAAGTAATAATAAAGTAATAAAGTGTAATAAAGTATAATAAAGTAAAATAAAGTAATAAAATATAATAAAGTATAGTAATCTGAAAAGAATATTTTAGTGGTCTAATAGACATACATCTGTACTGTGTCTACCGTGCGGAAAATCTGTAAAAAAAAGTTATTTTAGACAGTTTATTAAAAAATAAATTTTAAAGGAAATAGGTGATTTTAAGACAGTACAGTGGTCTAACAGAATGATAGGTGTTTTAAGACAGTACAGTGGTCTAATAGAATGATAGGTGTTTTAAGACAGTACAGTGGTCTAATAGAATGATAGGTGTTTTAAGACAGTACAGTGGTCTAATAGAATGATAGGTGTTTTAAGACAGTACAGTGGTCTAATAGAATGATGGGTATTTTTAAGTTAATACTGTTATCTTAAAATGTAATAGGTGTTTTTAAGTTAGTACTGTGACCTTATAAAGTGATAGGTGTTTTTAAGTTAGTACTCTTATCTTAAGAAGTAATGGGTGTTTTTATAGCACTATAATGGTCTATAAAGTCATTCGTATTTTGTTTATAGCATTTCTAGTGGTTGTGTTTGATATTCACAATCGTAACCATGGCAGCAGATTAATTAAGGTTGGTCATCATCAGATTCCTTTCCTGTTCAGGTTTTACTTCCGACTCGGCTGTGAGGATGTTGCTGCTGCTTTGCAAAGGATGTAAGTTAGTCGATGAGTTAGGCAAATAAGCGGTAGATAGCTTTTAATTATGATAAGTATGAATGGTAGACAGCTTTTAATTATGATAAATATGAATGGTAGATAGCTTTTGATTATGATAAATATGAATGGTAGATATCTTTTAATTACGATAAATATAAATGGTAGATATCTTTTAATTACGATAAATATAAATGGTAGATAGTTTTTAATTATAATAAATATAAATGGTAGATATCTTTTAATTATGATAAATATAAATGGTAGATATATTTTAATTATAATAAATATAAATGGTAGATATATTTTAATTATAATAAGTATAAATGGTAGATAGCTTTTAATTACAATAAATATAAATGGTAGGTAGCTTTTAATTACAATAAATATAAATGGGAGATAGCTTTTAATTATGATAAATATAAATGGGAGACAGCTTTTAATTATAATAAATATAAATGGTAGATAGCTTTTAATTATAATAAATATAAATGGTAGATAGCTTTTAATTATAATAAATATAAATGGTAGATAGCTTTTAATTATAATAAATATAAATGGTAGATAGCTTTTAATTATAATAAATATAAATGGTAGATAGCTTTTAATTATAATAAATATAAATGGTAGGTAGCTTTCAATTATGACAAATATAAATGGTAGATAGCTTTTAATTATAATAAATATAATGGTAGATAGCTTTTAATTATAGTAAATGCACATTAATGCATATTGGATATCATAATTTGAATTATGTGCATAATTTTGATGGGAATAACCTTAATATCTTTGTGTTCTGGTTGATCAGCCTCTTAAGCCATCTAAGCAGTGTGCTGGTGCTAGTGGTAGTGCAAATAGGATTTTAGGTTGTATCTATAGAAATACTGAATATAAGTCTAAAGAGGGTGTAATGTCATTGCATAGGTCATTGGTTAGGCCACATTTGTATTACTGTGTTCAGTCTTAGTCTCCTTACCTTAGAAAGGACAATGAATTGTTGGAAATGGTTCAGAATAGGACAACTAAGATGATACATAGCACCTGGGATATCAAGGTTGTTGAAGAAGGACAGGTTAAGATCTCTGAAATTGTTTTCTCCTGAAGAAAGAAGAATTAGAGGGGATCTGTTTGAGCTGTTTAAGATTTTCGAGGGAATTGAAAGTATTGATGTATCACTGTCATACTCAACAGTGAGAATGGCAGAACTCGAGGACACAAATATATATTTTGACAGGGTAGGAGGCACCTTCAGCTAAGACAGTTTTATATTTGAACAGGATGACCTTTGGAATGGGTTGTGTTCAGATTTAGTAGATGCAGTTTGTTTAAAAGAAAGCTTGATAAATATTTGAGTGATAAGGGATGGCTTTGAGTGTCTTTTTATATACTTTAGAGTTCAGTAATGTGGGTGGGATGAACCAACAGGTTCATCGTTCTTCTTCTTAACTTGAATGAAAATGTATGTATGTATTGCTTTAATACTCACAGTATTTAGTGGGAGTTTTGAAGCTACATAAAACACCGATATAGTTAAGTATGCTGATGATAAGAAAGATTTCAACACTTTGATTTATTCCAAGATACAAAATTCATTGTTTGTATCTAACAGCAATATTACTGCAGTGAAATGTTTCTTTGATGAAAAGAACTATAATTTTCTATTTTGTTTGGTAAATCTGGCATCTATTTTATCAGGAATGTGTTTATCGTCTGAAATAAACCGGAAACCCGGGATTATTTTTTAAACTTATCCTCAGAATCCAAGCTAATATATTCAACACAGAAATATAATTACGATTAAAATGATTAAATTGTTCTTTGTTAACATTCCCCCCTTTGGAGTCATTTTCTATCTTAGAATGAATTTACTTCTCTGTGGAACTTGTAGAGAATTACACGTTTTAGATAATAATTTATATGTGTTTACCGCTAAAATACCTTCTGCTCTGGATGATAAGTTACACGTGTTTACCGATAAAGTACCTTCTACTCTGGATGATAATTTACATGTGTTTACCGATAAAGTACCTTCTGCTCTGGATGATAATTTACACGTGTTAAAGCTAAAGTACCTTCTGCTCTGGATGATAAGTTACACGTGTTTACCGCTAAAGTACCTTCTGCTCTGGATGATAAGTTACACGTGTTTACCGATAAAATACCTTCTGCTCTGGATGATAAGTTACACGTGTTAAAGCTAAAATGCCTTCTGCCCTGGATGATAAGTTACACGTGTTTACCGCTAAAGTACCTTCTGCTCTGGATGATAAGTTACACGTGTTTACCGATAAAGTACCTTCTGCTCTGGATGATAATTTACATGTGTTTACCGATAAAGTACCTTCTGCTCTGGATGATAAGTTACACGTGTTTACCGATAAAGTACCTTCTGCTCTGGATGATAAGTTACACGTGTTTACCGATAAAGTACCTTCTGCTCTGGATGATAATTTACACGTGTTAAAGCTAAAATACCTTCTGCTCTGGATGATAAGTTACACGTGTTTAAGCTAAAATACCTTCTGCTCTGGATGATAAGTTACACATGTTTACCGCTAAAGTACCTTCTGCTCTGGATGATAATTTACACATGTTTACCGCTAAAGTACTTTCATTTTCTAAGTTCATTTACTTATATTCCTATTTCTCATTTTGACGTAAAATGTAAAAAACACCATATTCCGAAATATCTTTACTTATATGGTCATATGCAAAAACACCGTGTTTCGAAATATTTTTACTTATATGGTCATATGTAAAACCACCGTGTTCTGAAATATTTTTACTTATATGGTCATATGTAAAAACACAGTGTTCTGTAATATATTTACTTATATGGTCATATGTAAAAACACCGTGTTCCGAAATATTTTTACTTATATGGTCGTATGTAAAAACACCGTGTTCTGAAATATTTTTACTTATATGGTCGTATGTAAAAACACAGTGTTCTGAAATATATTTACTTATATGGTCATATGTAAAAACACCGTGTTCTGAAATATCTTTACTTATATGGTCATATGTAAAAACACCGTGTTCTGAAATATCTTTACTTATATGGTCGTATGTAAAAACACCGTGTTCCGAAATATCTTTACGCATTTGCGTGCAGACTCTTTATTGACCTTTTTATATTCGTGAATTACAGTATTAAATTCACCTGAATTTCTTCTATCCTGATCTTTTGTAGCACGAAATTATACTAACAACTTTACTGGAAAGTGTCATGATCTTTTGTAACATAGCACGACACAATCTGACAGACGGGTGTACAACTTTATTGTAAACTCACCTATTGTAGCAAAATACGAAGCTCTTACAATACCAGTATCGGAAAAACTTCTAAATTCAACATTACATTATAAACTCCTACAAAGTAGTTTATTGAAACTACACTGAGTGGGTTCAAAACTAATGATCCAACACTACTCTATAAATTGATAGAAAATCTTGATAATCAACGCCTCTCTTCCTCGACTTTGTTAATTAAACGAAACCCTTTTGTTTCTTGTGAAAATATCCAAAAGACTTGGAATTCGATAAACCACGTGGTTAAATTTCTCGTGTGTCTTCTTCTCTTCTTGGATGATGGATATTTTATTAATTTATCATTGTGATATTAAAACTGGACTTTGTTTAATGAATCTAAAAGTAAACAATACCATAGAAACTGATATGATGTTCAACAATATGTCAGGTTATCGTATATCACGAATCCATGTATAACCTAAAGAGCTTCGTAGTCGCATAAACCACGTGATTAAGTCACTATTATACCTAATTATCTTTGTGTTATTTAATCATTAAAGCATGTGGTTAAAGGCATGCTTCACTTAGACTCTTGTAATATCTAGTTACATAAGACACAGGGTGTAATTTACGCATTATCTAACAAGTTTTGTAATATTTAGTTGCATAAATCAAATATTATTTTATGACCGAAGTCGTTTTGGAAGTCTATTCTTCTTCATTATTGGGAATCTAACATTTGAAGATTACTTTACATAATAGTACAGAAAACTAGCTATCGTTGACTATAATCTTAATAAGTCGTTGCCGAAGGACTCCTCTTGGTATTCACACCTGAGTATGAATGGAATCAGTCATCCCATCCAAGGTAATCATGTGGCATGAAGCCTGGATGTAGAACTGAAAGTAGAAAGTTATACACTCGTAAGCAAATTAATGTGACTTACAATATTACATAAAAATTTACGTGGAGTCACTTAGTAACAATTATCATAGTGACAGAGAGAGAGATTCAAGTAGAAATATTTTGGTAAGGTAAAAACATAATTTGACCAGGTGGTTCATGTATTTAATATATTTTTTTAATTCAGTTCGGAATATAATAGTATTTGTAGAAACGAATAGCTCTAACACTCATGTTCTTTTAACGTTTTTCTCCTTGAATGTGACACATGTCAAACGGAGACAAAATACAAACCACGGCTAGATTGTGACACATGTCAATCGGCGACAAAACACAAACCACGGCTTGAACGTTAATTAACATATCTATCTATATAATATTAACACGATTTTAGTAGGCCAATTATCTTATTGATTAATTAACACATCTATCTATATAATAACGCCACGATTTTAGTAGGCCAGTTAATTTATTGATTAATTAACACATCTATATATATATAACAATGCCACGATTTTAGTAGGCCAGTTAATTTATTGATTAATTAACACATCTATCTATATAATAACGCCACGATTTTAGTAGGCCATTTATCTTATTGATTAATTAACACATCTATCTATATAATAACGCCACGATTTTAGTAGGCCAGTTAATTTATTGATTAATTAAAACATCTATCTACATAATAACGCCACGATTTTAGTAGGCCAATTAATTTATTGATTAATTAACACATCTATCTACATAATAACGCCACGATTTTAGTAGGGCAGTTAATTTATTGATTAATTAACACATCCATCTATATAATAATGCCACGATTTTAGTAGGCCACTTAATTTATTGATTAATTAACACATCTATCTTTATAATAACGCCACGATTTTAGTAGGCCACTTAATTTATTGATTAATTAACACATCTATCTATATAATAACGCCACGATTTAGTAGGCCA